TATATTCTATATTTTATATTATTTAGTTTATATTTATCTTGTATTTTATATTAGATAGTTATTATTTATTATGTATAGTATATTAATATTAGTATTTAAAAAGAGAGTTAAAGCCACTGTGGCACATAATGTGGCTAAAGTTATACATGACCCTCAAGTCCCTCAACTATATCTTCAAGCCCCTCAACACAGCCTCCATCTCCCTCAACTCTCTCTACTTCCTCAACACAGTCTTCAACTCCCTCAACACGGCTTCCTACTCCCTCAAGCATGTCTATCAACTCTCTTAAGTACAATGTTATATTACCTTCAATTCTCTCTTCTATTTTGTAAAAGGTATATAAAGAGAGCCTTAATCCCTTCTTGTAAAGATAGATCTTATATAGATATCTTTAGCTTTTAGATAGATCTCAATTACCTCTTTCTTATATAGAATTAGTCTTGTAATTCTCTCTTATAATATGTAACTCTCTTTAGAATCTCTAAAGGAGATTATCCTTTGTCCTATAATAAATAAAAGTTTAAAATACACTATCCTAATACCAAACTGCTTACCTTCTGCTGTGGATACTTAACTGTACTCCACATCTACCCTATGTATATTCTAGTAGCAGAATCCCTGCATCAGGTGATCTTGTTACTGTGCTATGTGGTTACAAGGAAGACCATAGCATTATAACAGTATGGACAATAGAGATAGGGTAGATGCAAAGTGTCAGGCCAATATAGCATGTCATAATATCAATAGAATAAAAAGTAACAAAGTCAAATTAGAGGCAATTACTGAGTAGGCAATCGAGAAAGAAGTAGATTTATTGGGATTAGTTGAGACAAATTCATGTGAGAAAAACTTAAGATTTAGTTTAGAAGAAATCAATATGAAGGGTTTTTAGACACAATATGAGGTAACAAAAAGAAAGGGTTCAGGTATAGGTTTGCTAGTTGGCCCTTGTTGGAAAAGGTACCTAGGTAGAGATGGGCAAAATAGTGTTTTCTATACCATGCATGCGCATGGTATGCTACATGCATACATGCACGCATGCATATTATATACAGTATATACTGTACTTACAAATTAATTTTTTTTCAAATTTTAAATAAAAATATCTTAACAACTACAAAACCAAATTTAATAAACTTTTTTTTATTTAAATTCTATATATTCATAGAATCAAATAAAAAAAGTTCATCAAGTTTAGTTTAGTAGTTGCTAAAATATCTTTGCTTAAAGTTTAAAAAAAAATTTTAAATCATTTACAAAATAAGCTTTACAAAATTTTTTCCAAGTTTAAACAAAAATATCTTAGCAACTACAAAGCCAAATTTGATAAACTTTTTTTATTTGAATTTTATAAATTCATAGAATTCGACTAAAAAAAGATTTATTAAAATTGGCTTAGTAGTTGCTAAGATATCTTTGATTAAGGTTTTAAAAAAAATTAAAACATCTATCAAAATAAGCTATACAGAATTTTCTTTAAACTTTGAGTAATGATATCTTAGTAACCACAAGGTCAAATTTAATAAACTTTTTTTTATTTAAATTCTATAAATTAATAGAATTTAAATAAAAAAATTATTGAATTTGACTAAATAGTTTCTAAAATATCTTTACTCAAAGTTTTAAAAAATTTCAAAATGTATCAAAACAAAAGCTATGTCAAAATTCTTTTTAATCTTTGAGAGAAGATATCCTGGCAACTATAATGCCAAATTTAATAAACTTTTTTTATTTAAATTCTATTAATTTATAGAATTAAAATAAAAAAAATTATTAAATTTGGCTTTATGGTTGCCAGGATATCTTCTCTCAAAGTTTAAAGAGAATTTTGTCATAGCTTTTGGTATTTTGAAAATTTTTAAAACTTTGAATAAAGATATCTTAGCAACTACTTAGTCAAATTCTATGAATCTTTTTTATTTGAATTCCATGTATTCACAGAATTTAAATAAAAAAATTTTCATTGAATTTGACTTTGTTGATACTGAGATATCATTGCTCAAAGCTTAGAGAAAATTCTGTATAGCTTATTTTAATAGATGTTTTAAATTTTTTTTAAAACTTTGAACAAAGATATCTTAGAAACTACTAAGTCAGTTTTAATAAATCTTTTTTTATTTGATTTCTATGAATTCATAAAATTTGAATAAAAAAAGTTCATCATATTTAGCTTTGTAGTTGCTGAGATGTCTTTGTTCAAAATTAAAGATAATATTTAATCTGTAAAAAAGATAGTTATATTGTAACATAGTAATATTTTTTGGGTTCAACATTTCGTGGTAGTTACATGGCCACATAACACAGTTAATCCCTTTGCATCACAGCTACTACTAAGTCATTTTCTTAGTATAGTTTTTCTTTTATTTATTTATTTATTTGCTATTTATTATTTTTGATATACATAAATTTGTTATGCATAATTTGTTACGCATATGATCATTACGCATAAATCATTATGCATAAAATCATTTTGCATAACAGGGCCAGCAAACAGTTTAAAGATTTATTTAGAATAGTCAGTTATTTATAGACGAATTATAAAAGAGATATAAATTGGTCTCTTGAAGGGACATAATCCACTATCATGTCCTAAACTACTATCTAATAAAGCCTCTTCGTCTTGATATTTCTTCTAACAAAGACCTAAACCCACCCATAACCGAATATTTCGGTTACAATAGTTTAAATAAACCTAGTTTTTCGACTAAAAAAAAAATCTTGCAAATATATACTTAGTAATCTAGGTATTTATAGTTTCGTTTATATACATTTTGTCTTAATTTCATATAAAATTTTAACTTATCTTTAATTTCTGTAGTGTTACTTTATCATATCGATTCTTTTTAGTGAATTTAAAAATATCACTTCTTGATTTTCAAGACATTGGATTCTTGTTATTAGATTCATAAGACTTCTTCAATTCATAAGTAATTTCTTATTCATTTTCGTTCGAATACGATCTTCTTCCTATGTAACATATCTTCATATAGTAATCTACTTTAACTTCTTATCGCTTAATATTCTCTTAACTTCGGATTGTACTAATTTTTAGATGATTAATTTTATATTATCATCTTGATCTATTTCGGTTGAATATAATAATCTTAATTGCTTATACCGATAAATCTTTCTGATCTTTTCTCCGGCTTTGATTATTTAAATGCAACGCAATTTCTTATTCACGTGATCCAATTCGAAGTTTATTGTGATCAATTAATTTTTCTACATATTACTCTATATTATGGTTGATTCTTTTTAAGCTCATATGGATTATTAAAGATAATCGGATTAATCGTATTCTTCATATTTTGACATCAAACTTTAGATGTTCTCATGGCTTTAGAAGTAAACTCATGACCCGGATGAAATTGGTATTACTAAACGCCTAAATGTTCTGACCCATAAGAATATTCTGAGGCTTCTAAAGTTAAATTAGCCTGGGATTAAAGATGGCGTAGTAGCTTTTAATAAAGTAAAAGAATTTTAAAGCCTGAGTTTCCATCTTCGTTAAGCTTCTTTAAATCTTTCGTCTTATACATTTCATTCTAGACCTTCGAAGTTGTTAATGTCATGGTTTTAAGTTGAATTTCTTTAATACAATCGTCAACATCTTTATTCCCATTTGTTTATTCTTGTTCTTTGAGAATCATATGTTCAATACCACTTTTCTGATGTATTATATCAGTTGTAACATGCAATTTCTCTTCGGATTTTTTTCAAAGCCGAATCTTAGTATTATTTTGAATTCATCTTCATACTTTAAACAATCGATCTTTAATATTTTAGGCTCGGCTACTATCACTGGTAGTTAAAATGTCCACGAAGATGTTTGGGGGGTTTTTTTTTAATGCCTATTGTATTGGTGACGTTAGCTATGCAATGGTAGTAGATATGTTTGTTTGCATGGTGACTTGATTCAGACCAGATTTTTTTAATTTCAATTCGTTATCCGCAAGTTCTTCAGTAACAGAACTAGATATATCTTCTGTTTCAGATTTCAGCAATGCTGGAACTTCTAGCACACCTACTTTTGCTAAGGTGCTAGAATCAGCTTCTTAAACTACTTTTGAATCTCGACTTATCTCTTTGACTTTTATACTTTAATATTCGATTCTTCTTTCCATAAATCTTGATGTATTTGGAAATTTTCTCCATACTTTTTAGAGCAAATTGTACATGGCGAAATATGTGACTTCGTTTTCGAAATTATTTACAGAAATTCGTTTGGTATTCTCCCATGTCAAATTCGATCTTTTTTTTTTAAAAAAAAATCTTTCTTAAATCTTTCTTTCAACATAAAATTTATACTATCAAGGTCCAAATTTCCAAATTTCGTGCAGTACTTATTACAGTTTTCAGCCCCGCCGGTACCAGGCTAGATTCGCATCTGATGGGCTGGGCACCCCCATTTTCGCACATTTAGTGACTTACAGGCAGAGCACCTTAACCTTGGCAGTATATTTTTTTGTAAAAAAATAATTAATATATATATTTTTTTAAGTTGTCTTTGTTGAATAAATTGATCAATATCATAATTATCGCTTGTTCAACTATAAAAATCTTTTTTTTTAAAATCGCTCATATAGATCGGGAGTGTAATCGTGAAGACCGTAAAGACGATTGGATCAGAGTTGTAAAGAGAGGAGTAATAAAGACAATAAGAGTCGAAATCGTCGTCGAGAGAGTCGGAGTCGAGATCGTCAGTGACTGATGAACTAATTTTATAAAGTTCATATCTCACAGTCACCACCAAATGTTACGGGGTGAATTGTATCCTTTGATATGATAAATACGAAAATGTATGGTTTTGGGTGATTAGGCAACTCGCCAGAGGTGTGACGATGGTGATTTAGCAATTATTTAGTTTGTTAAACGATATTATCAAAGTGATTTATTCACTGTATTATGTAGGAAATATTACAATCCCATAGGATGTGTCTTCTTTACAAGAGGGAAATTACAGGGTTTTTATAACTTTCACTATCCTAACGATCTCAAGAGGCTTGGGTATAAATCAAATCTTCCATCACAAAAGTTCAAGGGCAAGATCACTATAACTAAGGGGCTTACAAAGATAAGTACAACATGATTATAATAATGAAGGCTTTGCCTTTACAATATTTTATATTATTACTACTTCTAATTAATTCTTGATTCTTGGTTTTTTCTCTTTAGATCTTCGTTTGTTCTTCTAGGAATTCTTCTTCGGATTTCATGTAGGTTATCATTTCTATTATTCAGCCGGTAAGCCTCATGTACTAGTCGATCTGGAATTCCGGTGGTCGATCCACTTAATACCATGAGATTACCAAGAGTTTGCTGCGCCGATTCGTCGATCTACCTTTTAGCCCGTGACAATATAAAATTTTATTCAATATACATAATGTAGGCAGAATTTGAAAAAACGGGTAAAAACAAGAATAATTTCATGAACGTATCACAGGTTAAAAGCCACGATAAAAATTGATGACCAGACAAAGGAATATCAGATATAGTCTAGAATAATCCTTTGTGTCAATACAGTAGACAAAAGCCTCATAATATACAAATATAGAAATCCCAAGATGAAATCACGAGTATATAAACATTAAAATAAAGTAAGTATATTTATTACTAGAAAGGTCCTGAGTGCAACAGTGCCAGATTACACAAGTGTTCATATTTGTTTAACATCAATTTTTTTCGTATGCCAACCAGGTTGCTTTAAATGCAGAACCATCCACCCAAGCCACTATCGATTACACGATGCATAATAAATGACTAACAATGAAACAACGGAATAAAGGAATAAACATGCACAAAAAATTAATAATAGAAAATCGAATATAGAAAATCAAAAAGTAAAAAAGATTAAGGAATAATAAAAATTTATTTAGATCGATGCTAGTTAATTTCGGAAAAGTGGCATTAACAGAACCTTTCACTTGATTGTAGTCAAATATGTATGCATCTAATAAATAAGTTACGGCATTTTATTTGCCCCGAGCGAAGTGATGGACTCATATTTCTATGAGTTTTGACGACCGAAATTACGTTTTAATAAAAACATCACCTTCCATCTGTAACACCATGTCTATATTTTATACTTGGTGTGATAAAATATGTATCCCTGCGCGTTTATGTAATATGATTATTAATCATCATGGCTCCTGACTTAAACTAGTTTCCAACTTTTTTCAGTCCCTAGTATATTTACACTATTAGGTCGTACACTTGCAACTTTAGACACGAAGTTACGCTTGCCTAAAATTACTTAAAATTATTAGCCAACGCGTGCATGATCTAATTTCAATTGTGTAACTTCAGGCACGACAGCAATAACAAAAGGGTAATGGAAAAAGTGGAAAAGCGAATAATGAAAATGTAATTATTTAATCTAACGGAAATCTCCAAATTTTTTTTATGTTATTGCTGTTTATAGCAATAATTACTAGATATATACTACGTTATACAGCATTATAACGTGCTTTATTCTTTACACGAACAAAGACAAACATATTAGAATAATTTCAGCATCTTAATCTAGACAGTTTTTTTTTTTAACATTTGATCTGTACCGAAATTGTCAGCTCATTCAACAGACATGGTGGATATTAAAAGAAACAAAGTTTCATTGCCTTGCATCAATTAAATATTAATTGTGATAGTCTCTTTTTTAGATTCAGATAGTTCTCAAATGAGAGTAAAGAAATTTATCTTTACAATCTACTGTAAAAAATGTTATTACTTATTACTTGGATTATACTAAAATGGTATTTTTTATGACCTTAACATTCACAGAGTTATAGCATCAATTTATCTAAAGGAATACAGTCACTAGTATTCTTTGTTTATATCCCGAAAATTCATGGTCTACTAACAATTTTTATTTACCTTTTCCTTATTAACCTTTTTCGAATTAAAGTAAAAATATTTAATCTGTGAGCAGTAATCTTTTTAAACCTTGTGCGTCAAGATGCACAACATAAGTGGTCACTTTACCGATATGGATATTTGTCAATCGGAATAAAAATTGGTAGGACCCGGAGAGGCACCTAACATCATGATATACATCCACTTCATAGAACATCAAAACAGAATTTTTTCATTATCTTCCTTTCAATTAGTCTATTTTCTCGGATCTGAATCCATTTTCCACATACCTACTGTAATCTGAGTATTTTTATGTAGTATCTACTAATAATAATTGCTGTTGCATACATATACATATGATACATATAGGATGTTATCAATGGAAATGCTGTAAAGTAGGTTTATATAATAAATCTGCCTCATTTCTATTGACGGCAGCTCATATACTGAAACTTATGGAGCAATTACAACAATAGACTGATTTCATGCAGATTGTTAATAATGCAGTATAATTTTTTAATTGTGCCAAAAATAGCAGCTTACACGTAGTCAAATCTCAGTTTCTATGATATTAGGCCCGAGTCTTACTACTCGTGAATAAGCATTTTAATTTATTCTAAGTAATACTATTAGTGCTGTACTCTATAAAAATATTGATTTCAACTGTCTCCGAAATTTGTTGGGGTGTTGAAAACATTAATTCCAAACCACATGTAGGTTCATTCATGGATGATTGGTCATTTACTTGATCGTGGGAAGAAATTGATGTTTCTTTTCTTCTAACTAGTACAAAGAGTACGAAGTGTAAAAATTATTGGCTGAATAGTCAGTCATAGTTGCATCTGTGATACAATAAATATCAAATCGATCTAATCTCGAAAAGACGAAATGCTTTCACACATGATAAATTAAATTAATGATATTCTATAAATAGTATGCCATTCTTAAGAATTTAGTCTATCGCAAACATGTTATATTCGTGCCTTATAAGAAGGAATGAAACATTATTAGCTCGAACTCACGTAAATATCATTATTGATGTTTGAAATTTTTTAATGTGGATAGTTAATTAACCTGAATTTAGAGACGCGATAAATAATCTGCATAGAACTGAAAAAGTTTATTAAAAAAAAACTTTAAAGCACTTTACAGTTTCTTTATTTCGTAAACAAAGAATTTCTGTTTGTTATATGCGCGAAAAAAAATAAGAGTTGTCTTGTACCTGCATCTGGTTTTATTTTATTTTATATGCGGTAGATTTATGAACAATTCATTGATCTATCAATAGAATTTGTCTTCCAGTCGAAGTATTCAGGGATATAATTTATTTATGAAATAACAATCTTTAAAATACAATACAAAATATGGCGTTAACCGTTGAATCATTTATTTCTTTTTGTTCGTTCGTAACACGTGATCATAAGCCAAATTCAGGCTTCGTCGATCATTGATTACATAATTAATATCTGCAAAATTTATGTGTATGCGCATTGACATCACACGTGTGGTTCAAAATTCAATTGTTAAAATTTAAATAGGATTGTTTGAGTAATATAGTTCCATTTGTAGAATAATAGTTTTTAACAAAAATTATATCTAAAGAAGTTAGCTTATTTTCGCCAAAAAAATCTCTACGACATTTTAAGATCTATATTAAGTGCGTAACAAGTATTGTACGTATGTATGTATGTACGTATATACGTACGTACGTACAGTTACGTACAGATGTAATTATATTGTATTTCGATAGTTTATTAATTTTATGTAATAAAAAAAACTATTTGGACAAAGATTTTTTGATCGGCCAATGCCAACTATAGAGTAGAAGAATACAAAGATTTAAATATACACCAACCATTCATTCTCTTTAAGAAAGCCTGCTTTAATATTTAGACAAGGCCTAGCAATCTCCGATAAATGTCCCACCAATTATTAATAAAATATGGATTTTAAGGTTCTTTGTGTAATCATAAATATGCAGATTTATAAGCAGAATAACAATGTTTGTTACACAATTTTTTTTCACACCTACTAAGCTAAATAAGAAAAGTATTATTACATATATGTTTTCTATATACTATATAGTCGGAATATTCCAATAATGGAATTTTATAATGCAACTGAAAAGCGCATTCATCAATGATTTCAAAAATATGCTTTTAAAATTACCAATTGAGTAAAAACTTTTGAATTTTAATAAAAAAAATAAATGAATTAAATACTTTTTAAATAAACAATTGAGTAATTTATGAATCCAGGAAAATTAATTCATTAAATCGCATGATGGTAGCTTTTTCTATGATTAATATTTCAAAAAACTCAAGAAACAATAAACTATATACTATAAAAATCAAATTATTAATCTGATTTACACAATATTTATTCTACGTAGTCAATAATTAAACGGAAATCACAATTTTATGCTAACAATTGCTGCGTGATAATGTGGAAAAAAAACAAACCATTGAAAATTTGAAGTACTTTGTATAACGAATAAAAATTCGGGTTACTTCTGTTTATATTTTTTATTTTTTTATTAGTTTTTTTTTTTAAACTTTACTCGCGTTGGTTTTTTTGTGCGGCAACGGTTAAACCAATAATCCCAACAATTGATTTTATATATCGTGAGAACGATTCAAGAAATAATATTGCGTTTAAGTCTTTGTCTTTGGTACTCTTTGTCTCCATATGGGCAGAGATTTTCTTCCTCAGTTGTCCATTTTTGGATGCTTGTACTCAAGCCACCATCATGTGCATTGTTAATCCTAATTTAGCACACAAGATACAATGGGTGGATATTCGTGTCACCTAATATCATGTGCCCCTTCTTTGTCGAATAAATAGATCGCGTCAACAAAGATTATTACAATGAATGTTCAAAGGAAAATCATATAAAAGAACCTCGAACTTTGAATATTGTCATTAGCGAAACTATCAATTTTTTTTTTTTAGTTTCAATTTTTTTTTCTTTCACGTCTTTCCCTTTTTTAGTTTCTCTTTCGCGGTTCATACGCTAAAGTGTCGTTTGTTCTTGAGTCTACGGTACGACATACAAACATTAAGAAACTTTAGAACTTGAGAGTGCATTCAATTTTCATGATTATATATGCTAAATAACAAAAGGAACTAAATAAATAGCATTCATTTTAGAATATAAGAGATTTTGAAAGACAGAAACTAAGATAAATATATAATAACTAGATTATGGATAGTATTATGGATAGTATTATCGCAACAAGCAATACAAACAATACAGGTAGCAATGATAATAATATTGACTATTACAACAATTTCATCGTCTTCAACGTTGATCACTTAAACCGTGCCTTTACAATAACGATTGTATTCATTTGGTCACTTTATTTTGTTATTTCCCGACCTGTACCACCTCAACCACCACCTCCTGTAATCAAATGTAATATGATAAGCTCGCGCGGTATTGGAATAATTTTATTACTAATTTCGATGGCTTTGGAAATGATCTCCGACCTGATAGCATTTGCGAATAGTAACGATCTTACTAGTTCTTCTTCACAAGACATATTATCTGGTGCACCATTAATTATTACATTGATTCTGTGGAATACTGCATTGGCACTTAAATCTGTAGCATTATTTATCTCGCTTACACGTTATGCGCCACTCACTAGATCTCTTTCGAAAGAACCAATAATGCCAAAATTTCAATATTCATGTTGTAATTGCTTAAATTTCTTTAGTGGATTAATAGTATATCCAGTACTTTTTGCAGTTATTCTTCTCTCCAGGGCAAGATGGGAAGAAGCCTTGACTATGTCACAACTTTTCTTTCTTCTCCAGCTCATAATTGCAGAAATTATGTTTCTCATAATAAATAAACGTATGACCATAGCATTGGAAGAAGGAATGCTGATGGGAAGAAATGCAATTCAACAAATTCGAAAACTCAGATCAAGGAATTGGTTTATTATAATTTTTGCATTTGTACAAATTTGTTCATTATCAGTCTATAACATTGATCTCTTGACTGGAAATGTAATTCGAACAAATTTTGCCGCTACAGTAATTATTCTTGGAATAATGGACATAGGTTCAGCACTTTTGTATGGTGCCATAGCACTCCTTTTATGCCCAGTATATCCACAGTCTGGTGAAGGAATGCCAATAAATTCTGTAATGACACATCACATAGCAGGTTACACCCATGGTTTAAATAACTTTGCTAATCATGTAGTAGATAAAGATAAAGAAGAAAATAATAATGATAATAACAATAATAATAATAATAATAATAATCACATAACTCAATATCAACAACCCTCGACATCAACAAGAACTGGATTTACATCATTTCATCTAAAATCTTATTTCAACAAATACAATTATTCATATTCAGAACCTTTATCTTTTATATTTCCAAAGCGGTCATCACAGATATCTTTTGATCAAAATCAAATAAACAGAGACAATCTTGAAGACCAATCTTGTGCTTCTTCTATCAATGACAAATCAAAAAGAAATAGCGCCATAATTATTAACAAAATTGTTGTTCATAAACAAGAAATTTTGGAGAATACTCAGGAAATTCAACCACTTGAAGGTGTTGTCATAAGTTCAGACAAGTCACATAGATTTTCCAATACCATTTTATGAACTAAATGATAGTTTTGCAAAAAAAAAAACTTTTGTACAATTCTTTTATATAGTGTTTATATATATCATTGCATCACCTTTTTTGAACATACATTCCCTTTATTTTTGCATATAAAATACATATATTTTCACACATCGTTCTTTTATAGATTTCACAATAGAACATTTTCAAATAAATGAGTAAATTATATTGCATTTTTTCATATTTTTATATTTTTTTTTCATATTTATTTTATTTATTCATTGATTAAATATTCTCATTCATTCTATAATTACCTAAATATTATAGCCTTCCCTGGCGGAACTTTCAAATTCATACATATGATCTTTTCTTTCATACCATACGCACATTTCTATTGTAACCATATACTTACGCCCTTATACACACTTAAATTATATATATATATACTCTCTTAAAATGTTTACACATCTTATACATAATTTTTTTTCGTGTATAATAGTTTTTTTACAGTATGTCAAAAAAAGAAAACATTCAAAATTTAAATATGTGGTTACATTACAGTATTATACAGTACTATTTTTTTGATATTAAAATATATAGTATAAAAAGATATAAGAGATCGGATTACTTGTAGTTGCAAGATTCCTAGAATCTCTATTTTTTTTTTTTAAAAAAAAAACACTTCTTAGATTTAACTTTTTTTCAAAAATGAACCTGTTCGTTTTTGTCCTGAAAAATAATAAAATTATTGGTGATAATAATATTCATCGAACAGTAATATTTTTGTTATCATACGTAGTTCTATAAAATTAGTTTCGTGAACTAAACATCTAAAAAAAGCGTCATTCTATCAAATATTTGTTTTACACTTTTGGTTGGTAAAAAAGTTTTGTTAGATATAAATATGGTAATTAAGCAGTTTTAAATAATTATGTCATTATTATTTAAATGTTATTTTGTTTTCTTTCATATTTTATTTAGTTTTTATGTATAAGTTATTTTATAACTTTTTATGTTTAGCTGCCATTTAGTTCAAATAAACATTAAAGTAGATCTTATTTCCCTGATAATTACTTTCCCGACAACTAAGGTTGGCTCGATTTAGGGTTAGAATTAAAAGTCGTGGAATAACTGTCGGGGTGAATCCCTTTCATTAGCACGCAGTAACTTTAATATGATTTGCTAATTGATTCAATGATTTTGTGTTTACAGATTAATCACCCATGTAGCAATAGCTATGATCCAATCAATAAATGACGCCTATACAAATATAATCCAACATTACACGACTATGATGGGTTTGTAGTCGATGTTACGAAGTTACTGCTCATGACATTGTTTTCATGAGAAATAAAGGCTACAATATGTGTTTGGGATTATATTCAAACGCTATGTCGTAAACTAATATGCCGTATGCCGCAATTCAGTAACTTTGACGTCAACTATACGCATAAATACAAAAATAGGCATAAAGATTTACACATGTAAAAGTTAAATTTTATGAGCTTTGTTAACTATACATACTGCATAAGAATATGGGTTAAAGAAAATATATTACACGAAGACATAATAAAACTTTATATATACTAGTGTAAGAAAACTTAGAAAGTACTTGTTGCAAAAGTTAGCGTATTTTTCGGATTGTCGGGGTGTACATGTGTGCCTAATTAATAAAAAAATTATAGCATTTTAATTAGCCGAATTAGCCTTTTCATTTTTGCCGAAAAATTATTTGAATTCTATCAGTTATTTCGGTAAAAAAAAAAAGGTGTATGCGATATGTCGATCAAATTTGTATAAATCCCAATCAAGTTCACGTTATACGAAATTTGATTTTGACCTATCATCGATATCTCATGATCTAATGATTGGATTTCGATGATATTGGTACCATTCGAATTGTCTCAATAAGACGATTCGAATGAAACTAATATTATCGAAATCCAAGTACTATACCACGAGATATCGATGATATATCAAAATCAAATTTCGTATAACAGTACTAGATTTATACGAATTTGGTCGACATATCGCATAGCAATACGTACAGTACGTACCGAAATTTTTGCCGAAAATACTTTAATAATTTAGGCGCACACATCAAATGATTTAGTTTCATGTTACACATGCACTTATAAGTGCATGAGATTGAGAGGGATCGACCATTGAGGTTGCATCTTATATTCCAAAATACTCGTTATTTTACGTGTTGAGAAGCATATAAAATTATTATAAAATTATAACGATAATATATAAGAACTAACTATTTTGAGTAAATTTAAACTTTAATTCTTATCCTAATCCTCACCATACGTATATATATTTATAAATTTACTTAAATTATGTAGTTTAAAATATATAGCTAATTTATATAACATAACTTTATAATACCATAGATAAATCTATAGGGATGGATATTCGATAAACTTTATAAAACAACAGAATGCATTTCCTATTGTTCGCACTATGATCGCTTGACCACTCTTCAACCAATAAGAACTGGAAAAAGGGGTTCAATAGACTGATATTCGAATAATTTCGAACTTACAGAAAAAATTTCGATGAATTTAATTTTTTAAAAAAATTTCACAATAATTTTGAAAAATCTTTTTAAGAAAAACTTTGTTTTAAAAATACTATATACATGTTCGAACAGTATAATTAATAACTTAATAATGTTTAAATTATTGTTTGCAAAAGTAACCTAATCATAGATCCTGGAAAACCCGAATAAGGATCAGTCTTTTAACCAATCCCACGATAATTTGGTCTTCGGTCCTAAGACCAGTCTGGACCGTACTTTTTATGGAAATTACTATTTCCACGATGGAATAACTAACTATAAAATCTGCTTACCCTCAATTCTTAACTCTATGTAGTAGTTCAATATGTATGAGCATTATTTCATTAATTATGAGGATTAAAGGTCGCGATAATTGAAAATAAAATATAATTACTTTTCAGAATGTACAGTAACATTGTAAATAAGATACTATAGCTTCATTAATATTTTTTGAAAGATTGATTGGTTAATAGTCATGTTTATAAGATAGCCAATCAGACGAATTTCATCCTATGAGTATTTTTACATGTTGAAGTTAGCACTGTAAGATAGTTAGAAAGGAATTGGAATCGCATAGTCGCCACAATTTACAAAGTTGCCAATCAAGTAATTAGACTTGATGTATAATGGACGGCCTACTGTGATGTTTTTCCTTTTCTAACCAGTGTTGGACGATGATATAAATAATATATGATATGATTCTATATCATATGATATATCATATGACATTACGATATTGTTATCGTCTAACACTGTTTCTAACAGAAAGCTTTCTTATATGAAAATGCCAATAATTTATTTGTGATTAATTTCTTTGATAAGTTTAATTGTAAATAGTCTCGTTTAGATCGACATAAATTACTATGATATGTATTCAGAATTCTGCAATTTTTACAGATTTGTGCAGCTAATCTAGACAGAAATATTAAGCTGTACGTAGGGTTATTAGTGGTAATTCCATGGTAATTTCCGGTGAATTGTCATAAAATTTAATGGTACAGTAAATTACCAACTTATATATTATTAATTTCGGTTAGCATTAAAAAAAAAAAAAAAAATCCAAAATTACCATAATTTTACAATTCTGGTGTTCTAAGCGAAATAAGAAAAATTCTGCCATTAATTTAAACACGTGGGATTCTACAAATCTGATTATCGTTATCGTTGTCATTATTCAATACATAGTAAATTTAATTTACTAAGATAATATTAAACTATGAACTTATTAAAAAATATATATAGGGCGGACTACTTAAATTAGGCGACCAAAAGTCGCACGCGTGACTAGTTGCACTCTCATTGTACGTACGTAACTGAAATTAAGCTTCTAATAAAAAGATATGGTCACGAAAAAAATATATATAGTATATATTGATTAAGATGCCTTATTTATAAAATATACGTATCACTGGACACCAGACAATTTGGAAATGTCTAGTGCAAAAAAGAACTGTTAATTCGAATTAGGGTAAATTCGGAAAATTCGTTCCGAATATCATACGATAATTATGACGATAAATTTTTCGGACTTCAATCGTAAGTATTCCGTAAATAAAGTTTACGCCTCATCAATTTACCTATTGATCCACGATCGTAGTTATGCTAGTGTACAGACGGAATTTGGCGAAACCAACTTGAACCTAAAGAAGAAAAAAGAAATTATTTCCGTGTTAAAAAAAATCATTACGAATAGCCTTGGTTTAATTGTTCACGAATTTTAAAAAGTATTTTTTCTGAAAAATGCAATCTGAAAAATCTACTACCACTCCTATTCCTACTAAACCTAAGAAAAGAAATGAGATTACAAATAAGCGAGAAAGGGCTATACATGATGCACTTGCTAGAATTGATCGTTCAAAGGAAATTGACCTTTGTTACGTTTTAGACTGCACCGGTTTGTATCTTTTAAATTCTTTTTTATCTTTAGATTCTTTATTTACTTTTTATTATTCTCTTCTCTAATTTATTTTATTTATTTTATTTACTTTCTATCATTCTCTAATTTATTTTATTTAGGTTCTATGGAAGGTCATATCGCTGCTGCTAAAGATTGCATTTTACAAGTTATAAAACATATTAAAAATACAAATCCATGCCTTAAAATTCGTATCGGTTTTTGTGGCTATCGAGATCATTGTGATAAATCTCGTATACAAATTTTTGATTTTACAAATTCTTATGAAAAATTTCAACAAAATTTATCTACAATAAGAGCAAGCGGTGGTGGTGATCCACCAGAGGATGTTCTTGGAGGTCTTAATGCTTCTATAACTCAATTATCTTGGAATAATGGTACTAGAGTTCTTCTTCATATTGGTGATAATCCACCACATGGTCATCGTTTTTCTAACTTTCAAGATAATTATCCAAATGGTGATCCATATGGTTTAACTGCTGAAAGTGTATTAGAAAAAATGAGATCTGAAAGAATTCTCTATTTTTTTGGTAAAATTACTGAATATACTAACGAAATGA